ATTTATTTTCATAATATCTTACTAAGGTATTCCAAAAGTACATTAAACAGTATGTCTATCATGATGTCTCCTCTCATCTCTTGACAAATATAAAAGTTTGTGTGCAAACATCCTTTGCTTAATTAAGAGGAATCACAATTCTTACACTGTCTTTGAAAGTTTTCTTCAAAACGTTTCTGTTAGGAAGTTAAAATGGTTCCTTGTTATTACAAAGTCAAAAAATTAAAATGGTTCACATTTGTGACTCTTCTAAAAAGCCAATTGTGAAGAAGAAAGTGAGTTCTCTAATAATTTTGTTTGGTTTATGTTTCTTCCCATTACATATTTCAATATAGTATTGTGACTATATTTGTTGGGTTTGAAATTATCTATTGGAGTTTACAAAATACTGATATTGCTACACTGATTATAAGCTAAAGTCACCGTTACTATACCTGCCACACAATGACAAGTAAAATGATATCACAAGATACAGCAGCGTTCAGTGACAGAATCTGGTATTTCTTGCCAACTCTGACTTCCTACTACACTGATACTGAATTTCTGACATTTCCTCTTTGCAAGGGAATACACTGGGTGTAATTCTCTTCTTACCGTATGAAGTATTTTTGCCATTGTTGCACCCAGGCTGAATTCACTGAACCTAGACCATGTGGATATCATTGCTGCACTTCTTCCTTTTTATTTATTTGTTTATTTATTTTAAATACTTTCTCAAACCCACAGTGGTGGGTCAGCCCTGGCCAGCAGCCGGATGCCCACCCAGCTTCTCTCTCACTACCCTTCCTCAACAGGAGGGGGGAAGAAAATATGATAAAAAATCTCATGGGTGAAGATAAAGACAGGGAGATCGCTTTCCAGTTACCATCATGGGTAGCATAAACTCAACTTGGGGAAAATGAATTAATTTTATTGCCAATTAAAATAGATCTGGGTAGTGAGAAACAGAGATTAAAAAAAATGAACCAACAACTTCCCCCCTCCCTCCCCGCCCCCCTTTTTCCCAGGCTCAATTTCACTCCTTCATTCCCAGCTCCTCTACCCCCCTTCCCGAGCCGTGCCCTGCGGTGGGGGGGTCAGAGCCGGCTGGAACCGGCCGTGTCCGGCGCGGGGCAGCCCCGGCCTCCCCTCACAGAGGCCCCGCAGCCCCCGGGGCACCTGCACCCCACGCACATACAAGTGGCACGCATTACCCTCCTAATTTCAAATTGGAGCATTTGTGACCCCGCTATATGCTGCAGATGTCAGCGCGGTTGCCTGCAGGATATTTACTTGTTGAATTTTTGCAGCCATACATACTTGGCTTGAGCTTGGATTTTTTTTTTCATGAATCAGGCCAATTGTTTTTCCACTTGTGGGATCAAATCGACTTTCATATAGGGGTCAGGAATTTAAACATTTTGGGTTGTTTTTTTTTAAATTATAACAATGTTCCTTACCTGATTATGTGCAGGATTGTGAAGTGAAGCACATTTGCTGTTTCAAGTGCTTGCATCTACATTCATAATTACTTTTTTTTATAAAGAGAATAAAGTAATTATTTGTTAACTTTATAGTAGAAAATATTTCCATTTAAGCTTTGTTGGTCAATGGCCCCAAAATTCAGTGGTATTATTAGTACAGCATGGCAAAAAAAAATATTTGCTGTCTTTTAGAAGCATTTTGATCGCACTTATAAGCATTTGATGTAGTTGCAATGTAGTTTAAGGCTCTGTTGCAATGTAGTTTAGCATAAATAGTGCAAAATCATTAAGTGGTGTGACTGGGCTAGAAGGAGAACATCAATTCATTTCAAGTCCTAATGCGGATATTAATAAAGTTTGGGAAGACAAATTCATCAACCAGAGACTGAAAAGTGACTGCAATCTAACTTAAACATGTACAAGGATATACTGACACTTTCTTCAATTTTTATTATAGGCATTTTTCATCTCTCGATCAGTTTATATAGAGATATACATATATATGAAATACATACAAAATTTTGTATGTAAGTTTGAACTATGTTTTCACATATTCTTCAATATGACTATTATGAGAGTTTGTTTCAGCTTGTGATCTAAGCAAGCATAACCTGTATATATGTGTGTGTATATATATATATGTAGCTGAGCTATAAATGGCAGAATAATAGTGAAGGTCTGTAAGACACATGATGGATTTTTAGTTCCCATTCAACTCATCATGGATGCATTCCAAAACAGAACTATATTCAAGAATATTCATTTTGAGTCTTGCTGGTGCATCCAAATATTATATGATAGTAGATCTATATAAATACACTAATATTAAAGCATTAATTTAGAGGAAGGGTTTATGTGAGTTGACACAGGTTTCATGACTTTCTGAGCATTTTGTGTAAAGTAGCTGGGCTAAATCCACAAAACAAACATTCTATTTTAATACTCTAATTCTATTCTAGTTTAATTTAGTTAATTAAATTTAAATGCTTGAGCTTTACCTCACCTAAAGATGATCTAGAACTTATGATTAAATATAATATAGAAAAACGGAATCTTTACATCAGGTGCTAAATTTAAAAAAAAACATCCAGTTACTGCAGGGTTTCAGAAGTATTTAACTGTAATGTGATAGCTGAATCATGAATAAAATTTTTGCATATGTATATGTTGTCTATTTTAATATATATAAAATAGGCTTTTATGTATCTCAAACTGTTATATATATATATCATATATGTATGTTATATGTATGATAGACTGCAGATAAAGGGAGGAAATATCTTTATAACATAGAGTAGAAGCAGCAGTGGTGCCACTCATTCTCAATCCTCAGTAAGTAATAAATAATGTCTAAAATATTGCAGGAAGGAAGGGGCAGAGGATTTCAGGACACATAGTTGTTCTTATGCATTAGAACTCAAGACACATTGGTTTGCTTTGCAGTCCTGATACACTCTTGTGTGACCTTAAAAAAGCATTCTAATTTTGTTGTGCTTCGGTTCCTGGTTATTCCAACAGTGATTATCCTGAGAGGATTTAGTCAGAAATCAATGACCATAATGTTTTTTTCCACAATGGCTTTTTCCACAATGAGACCTCAGGTTCTCTTGTAGTCAACTGTCAACAAAATCTCTGGCTTGAGTAGAACACCTCATATCAGAGTACTGGGGGTGAGTAGGTAGCACTAGCTGTTGTATTTTTGGTAGAAAATCACTTAAATGTGGATTGAGCCGGTGGGGGGGGGGGGGGGGGGGGGGGGAAGTAAAAATGCTTGAGTAGAGGAGTAGAGAACAAGAAGAGCAGAGAAATGGGCCCCTGAGGGAGGTACAGTTCTGTCCATCAGGGAGGAAGAACTTGAAAAGAAATGCAGGTCCTTTCTGGGAAACTTGCTTAAACTGCAGGCACTTTTCTTTTTTTTCATTTGTTTGGATTTTGTTTGTTTGTTTGTTTCATGCCCTACCCCTTTGCTTCTGGACCCTCATTCCTCAAGTTCTCTAATCTGATCGGACTGCCTGTTACATGCTTTCTCTGACTGTTTCAAGCTCCTGCTTCTCCCCTACAAAGCTGGATTTCCTAATTTAATAAGTGCAAAGTGTTATCATTCCGTCCTAGGGACTGATCTGTTGTCATTAGTGCTACTGCAGGTTGTTAGCAATGGAAGTCATTGTTTGATGAACTGAAAGATGGGTGAGAAGGATGGAGGCAGACACTGTAAGTCTTTATTAAATATATGGATTTTACAGATACAGCAAACAGTAAGCTTTCAGCAGCTATACTTTATATGGATGATTCATATGCCTGCTCACTTAATCAATCAAATCAGAACATGTCCCTGTGCAGACAATGTTTTCTTCAGTGTTAGTGTTGGGGGTTTTATGGTCAATTCTCTTGCTCACTCTTTCCCAGAATATTTTTATAGCCTAAAATTATTAGCCTGTGTGACTGCTTACTTGATTTCTTCAGTTGTCCTGGGTTTTCATATACATCAAGCATAAGCTTGATGTTTTCATGTAGGTGAATACGTCAGTCACTGTAGAAGCACTATTTCATGTGCACAAGAGGAAGAGTTATAATGTTGGAGTTAATCCTGCATCTCATGATGTTGGCCAATGCTGCATTGTGCTAAAATAGTGGTCCGAAGCAACACAAGCACCAGCTTCCTGCAAATACAACATTAGACCTGTAAATACATCTATAGGAGTTAGTTTGCTGCGGTTAGTTACTTTTCTGATTGATACATGCATGCTCTGATTGTGCTCAGATTAGAGGCCACAGGCATTAGCATCCATTTCACCAGGGCTGCAGACCCAGCGTGCAGGGCACACACAAACCAAATGCAATACGTGTTTCCTGAGTGTCATGGATATGCAGCTGGGGAATACCTCTGCCCTGTAATAGGAATCGAGTTCTATCAAAGATGTTATTTGAAGTTTTGTGTTTGAAATGCTTCTTACACAGTACTGTGCTATGCCTTTAATTAAATCCTGATGTTTTAATACATGTCTCTATACACATATGTATGTGTACATGTGTTCCTTCTGGTTAGCAAATACTTACAGATAATGAGGGCAGTCACAAAAAACTATATTTGAAACAGAGAAATGTGCTTAATGTATCACCTAAATGAATCAAACCAAATACTTAAGATCTAGATATGTATGATGTATTAATATTTATTTGTGTGTCTGTTTATGTGTATACACACACAATTAATGCATTATATCTACATAAATACATATTTCCCTACTACCTTATGCCAGTTTTCTAAAATGAATTTGTTTCTAGAAGTTGTGTTCAGCTGGTATACAATATCAGGTTGCTCACCAAATGATTTATTTGGATAATTCCATTGGTCTTCACTATTCTTATCCATTGTTAGTGTGGCTTGACCCTCAACTTATTCTTCATTCCCAGTCAGAAGTGTTCATACTGAGTTTCATATAGATCAACAGAGATGTTGATTTCGTTGTAAATAATGTGCTTTCCATGACTGGTGGTTCTTTGTTTTAAAGTAGCTGTTATTTGTCACACTGACAGGTACACCTACTGCGAAATGCTGGCGATGAAGTTACCATCACTGTTCAGTACCTCAGGGAAGCTCCATCATTTTTAAAGCTCCCATTAGGTAAGAGGAAATTAACTAATAGGAGTAATTTGTTTTCCTCTTTGTAGTATTCTCATAATAAGATGACAGTGACAGAAATAGGAATTCAATCTTTGAGTGCTTTACAGGAAGAAATATAAAATTGTGCGTGTACTTTATTGCTTAACATATAAGGATATGATGCATAGCTCATGATTGCTTCTTTATATTTTATTCAAAATAAAACTGAAAATTTCATTAAAATGAAGTACTGTCATGGGTGATATCTGAAAGTTTTTCTACAGAAGCTTTGCCTGAATACAATAAAATTGTGTTTACAAACATTTGAATTATATATTCACACTGAAAGGTATCTTCAGGACACTTACCAAACAAATGGATAACATTAATTCTGCATATTTCATAAATCACTTTTATATTTTGATCATTTTTCTCAGAGAGCAGAATTACAATGTGACAATTGAGTAGTTTAAGGGTAGCAATAGTAAATTGCTTATGAACAATGCAGATGAAGGAAAATTTTGGTTCTTCTGGTTAACAGATACAAACATTCAAGATACTCACTTGAATTCAGTATTGCAAGTAGAAGAGTGTATGTAATTTATTAACTAACTTAATCAGACCAAATAACTTTGCACCAGTTTATCTTACATATGGTTCTCTTTCCAAATTAAGCAAAACAGTTTTAAAATATATATTGCTTGGGGGATTTAGGTAAGTTGGGCTCAAATATGTACTTGATTTTTCTTGATTTTAGCAGAATCATAGGTCTCAGGTCTAGCTCTTGTAGTTAGGGTGTTTCATCTAGATTCTAACACCTATTAAAAGCAAATTTGGCAGGCCTCTACTAAGCTGAACTATGCGTTTCATGCTAAAACCATTATTTCAGTTTTTACTGCATATCATTCCCATTTGAAAATGGCATCTAAATTTGAAGAAATCTTATTTACATTTGGAGATCTTCGTCTGGTCAGTGTTCCTTATAATGAAACTTCAGATTTTGTCTTCTTACTTTTCTATCCTAGGTCATCAGACAACTATAGGCTAATATCTATAATGCCTTGTCTGACTGTCCAAGCTTAGATATGACTTTGGCAGGCTAGCAGGGTCTTACTAGTAGTTTCTGTGTTGTAGACCATATTCATCTATAGTTATGACAGTCCTGCTAGCAATTTTATCTCATCTTGTTGACTGACATCACATAAACACTTGGACTTTATTACTTGTGGTCAGTTAACCTTGTCTAAGAGCCAAACTCCCACCCCAGCTGCTCTGTCACACCCCTTCCTCAAACAGAAACTGGGGACAAAATAGAATGAAAAAACTCTTGGTTTTCATTCTATTGATAGAGACAGGGAGATCATTTATTAATTACCATCATGGGCAAAATAAACTCAATGTGGAGAAACCTAATTAAATGTGTTGTATATTAAAATGAACTTAATCAGTGAGAAATAAAGACAAATAAATTGAAACACCACCTTCCCCTCACCCCTTTTTCCAGGCTTGACTTCATTTCTGACTCCTCTACCTCCCCTGCAGGTGGTGCAGGAGGATGGGGAGTGAGGGGTTGGGATTAGTACACAGCATTGCTGTCTGACACACCTTCCTTCTCACACTTGTACACTGCTCCAGCATGAGTCCTTCCCACTGGATGGAGTTCTTTACAAACTCCTCTAGTATGAGTCCTCTCCATGGACTGAAGTTGTTCAGGAAAAATCTGCTCAAGCATGTGTCCTCCGCAGGCTGCAAGCTTCCTTCAGACCTGCTCTGATATGGACCTCCATGGGCGGCAGGAGAATCTCTGCTCTGACTGCTGGAGCACTCTCCTTCTTCCTGTCCTTGAGATTCATATGATCTTTCTCTCACACTTTTTTCCTCACTCTTCTCTCTGCTGTTCAGCATTTTGCCCTTTCTTTCATAGTTTCCCAGAGGTGGTACCAGCTTGACTGAGTGGCTCAGCTGTGCCCTGCAGTGAGTCGGTTGGAGATGGCTGGAAGCAGCTGTGTCTGGCACAGGGCAGTCCTTGACCATCTCCCACCCCTGGATCCACCCTGCCTCCCAAAACCTTGCCACTTATACCCAGTGCGCACTCCGTTTGAGACACCTGCCACCCTCACAAGGAGTTCATGCAGGTCCAGGAATATTGGTGCCCTCTTGGTACATCATGGGAGAGAAGAGGAACTGAGCTGACTCTTGTGTTGCCCTTCTCACCAGGAGACACTGCAACCAATCCTGTTGGGAAGCTGAAATCATGGCACTGCTTCCATAAATTGCTGTTTCTGGAAAGAGAAAGCAGTGATTAACAGGGAGACCAAATCATTTTCTATCTCCATGTGACTAGAGGTGTGTGCGAAACTTCTGTAGGTAAACAGCCTCCACGAACACTTGAACTAGGAACTTTCACCTTACAAAAATCTCCATGCTCTTTCAAAGGGCTTGTTTCATGGTCTGTAGCCAGCTAGCACCATTTGAAGTCTGCCCCTGATTACTGTTGTTCAAAGAATGCCTGTTTGGAATAGGGAAGACAGTGCCATGTTAGACAAGCTATCACAGGTAATCAGCAAGCATAGCAGAGAAGCAATACTTCTTAAATGAAAGACACATCTTGGATACAAACTACTCATTTTGTGTAGCTTATTAGATTTGCCTCCTTTATACAGAGCATGAGGAAATCTTTGGCAAACATTATACTACCCTCTCCAGTCCCATCCATGATCCCACACCTTCTACATGCTCAACAAAAGGACTTGCTAAGTATGATCAGACAGCTGAGGAACTCAAGAAATTACCCTTCTGAATTGAACCTGAACCTCAGCACAGAGCTCACCTGCTCGTCTCCAGAATATGCTGTGCAGCCATCCAATACAGGCTGAAATAAGTCAGATGTTCTTTGTTAAGTGACTTGTCATAAATACTTATTTCTATGGTAAGGAAATAAGCAAAGAAGGTGTAGATAATTATGGAAAATATGTCTGGTTTAGGGCGATACACTGAAGTTAAGGAGAATAGCAGTGGTGGGACAAAGCACCCTGTTTCAGAAAGAGCTTTTCACAAACCCATGCAAAAAAAGGAATTCCAGTTGTGAAGCATCAGTGACACATATAAACAGCTAAGTGGAAATTCTACTGTGCAATAAAGGACTTCTCAACTCACACTGCAGGCAAGATTTCAGTGCATATATGCATAAAACTGAAATATCTTGGCCTTTCTTAGCATCCCATGAGACTCAGGCACATGGTCCCCTACCTTCAGACCAGGTGCTGTGCTGGCAGTTTTAGTACAGTGGTGTGTTCACTTTAAATGCAACCATACTGCCTCTTCCTATTAACCAGTATTATTACTATTTCTTGTAAGTATGTCATCAGGAGTAGCATTTGCCTCCACTTCTTCCTTCTCATACCTCTTCCTTCCCTACAATATCTCATGCTATGACTAGAAAAAACACAAAATGTCACAACAGGGAAATATCTGCCCACAGTTCTCACCACATTTTTCTGGTTGCTTTACTCTTTCATGGTTTGCAAACAACAAATACAGTATTTGGCATGGGTTAACTGATTAACCGATTAACTGGCACTTAAGCATGAGACAAAGACTGCTTGTTTCTGTGTTTGGAGGAAGCCCTAACCCAGGGTGGTATGCCAAAGAGATCGTTATCTCTTTCACAGCTGCCTGGGATACAACTGCCTGGCCCTTGCTAGACTGTTATGAGACTGTCCATAATAGTAAATTAAATTATGCCAGCAAATATTCTCTGCCACGGGAATTTGATCAGCGATTTTATAAAATATTGCAGAATGCTTGGCATACTTTTGCATAGGGCAAATGCTTCTTTCTCAAAAAACTATCAGTCATGCCTGGATCAGAAGTTAGCATGGGCCAATGGGGTCATTAACTGTCTGCTTCATTGGGTTGTCTGTCTCCATGGCTAGGATGATTCCTTATCCCATGGCCTGTGGCTTGCTCTAAGGTCACTGTGAGCTAGACAGAGGATAGATTTGTGTTTCTGGAAACCAAAAGAAGGTATTCAGTTATTTGGAGCTGAGTCAGGAAGTTATTAGTGACTATAAGGGTTATTTGTTAGCCTGTTACAGAATAATTATGGCATCGACTCTTGGGTATAGTCATTAAGAATTCTCTGAAGCTAAGTCCGTTACTGATCCCAGAGTTCAGCAGGGCTTATAGGATCCTTTTAGGTAAATTTCGCTGCTACTGGGAAGACTCTTCAGGACATTTTATGCTAAAACAGGCTCTCTTAAGAATTTTTGCTTTTGATACTTATACCAAATTATCAGAATATTCTGAAGTTGCAAAGCCTGCAGTATAATTAAAAATCACCAGGAATGTTTGCTCTGATTTTAATTTTGTGATTGTTCTGGAATGGGTTTTTTGTCTGTTGGAGGTTGTCTATGACATAATTAGCAAGTTAGATAAATAAGATTTTATTTATATACAAGAGGACTCCATTGTCATTCAGCAATATTGATCATAAGACAAGTTGTTGTAAAGAATGAAATCTTGCTGACTACTTGTTGTACATTGATCTGCTGTCCTGAGTTTTGGGCATTTTGTTTGTTATTTAGATATTTAGTGTAATTCACTGACTGAAATAAACAGCTACCTGTTGATGGGACTCTGCATTGACAAGAATGTTAATAGAGACCTCTCTAGGTCTAGAAAGCTTAAGGCTTAAAGTTAAAATTAAATCCATTAATTAAAATAAGTAGAAGAATGCCTAATGTTTTAAAGTGAAAAATCTCAGTGAATTTGTCAAAAAGAATGAAAAAAGATTTATAAACAAATCCTACCTGTACCACTGCAAATGAGTTCTTGCTTTAGATTTAGTGTTATTTAGCTTGGTGATTTCTTGAGTTACTACTAGCTCGACAAAATCCCTTGTGATCCTTACAAAGTTTCTTTCCCTTACCTCAGAGTTCTGCCTGTATTTTTCTTGCTACCCCCAGGGACATCTCAGTCTCTTTTGTGAACTGCAGGCTCCTGGAGCCTTGCTATCTCTCTTTCTCTCTGACCCCATCTCACCTTACAGAGTAAGTTGTTGGATTTTCTCTGAGCATACTCAGCTATTGCTGAGATAAAGATCAGGCAAAGGTCTTCTCCTCTCCCACAGGATCCTTCTTAACCCAGTCTTCTCAAGAGAAAAAAAATGCCACAACTGAGAATAAGCAAATTAAATAGATGAAGTGTGTCATATAATAGGTTTGCATTTCTTATAGTCTGGCTGTATAACTATGATTTGGGTGGGATAAGAGGACAGATAGGCAATAATGATTGCTGGAAATCTCACAACATACCAAATGCCTTTTTTCTGGCACCAGTACCCATCAGGATACTCTACTGTCATCATGGAGCAGGAGAGTTACCTTTAGCAGTTGCTTTATTTTACATAAACGCTTTGTTTTGATAGTCTTTCTCAAACTAGTGTTTCAGAGTTTGGATTGGTACCTAAGACTCTTGGGCAAGGGCTACAGTAGTAGATAGTACAAGATTTCTTTGTGTTAGTATATTTTGTATCATGTATATCAAATCGTGTGTGTACATATTGTGTTTTGTTCTAAGAACAGGGAGGAAAGACTACCTGATTGTTCTAGGGCTGCCATGTGGGGAGGCAAATGGATCTCCCTGGAGAGATGAGAGCACTGCACCTTCCACGGAAGCAGTTGAGGATATACAGCGGAATCATCTAGAATGCTGAACAAGGCCTTGAAGGAGTAGTCCATAAGTGAGTGAGGCAGAATAGGCAGGAAGCAGACTAAAAGACTTGTGAACTTGCTTGGAGTCAAGTGGTGGAGGTGGCATACCCTGAGAGAGGGTATTGACTCATGGACCTGGACTGATTGACTCATGGACCTGTCATGGTTGTCTACTGCTGGAGACAGTGGGATTCCCCAACAGGCAGACTCTTCAGTGGAGAATTTAATGCCAAATCTTTTATTTAATTGGTTTTATTATAAAAAAATAGAAATTATCTTCTATTCCAGCAAGTCACTATGGTCATCTATGTGTCTGAACACAGATTTTTGTTCTTTACTGTACATATATACTAGCTACAAAATGTAGCTAGCTACGAAAGTTGAAACTTGGGTTAGACCCATGCAAGCAAAGCAAAAGAGTTTCTCCTTCTGACATCGTCTAACACTGTACAGAAAGGACTCAAAGTGAAAACATGCTGAAACTTCAGAATTCAGAGTAGAATTCTGACACCTCTCCACTGAACTGACAGAGAGTTGTCATGGAGAAAATGAGCTTTTGCTGAATTAAGTTCCATTTTGTTAAATCTTCCAGATATGTGGAGTAGTACATACAAAACTATATGACTAAGAATGACTTTTTGACTTTTGTGATGTTAGACTTGACAGACCTATTAATGTGAAATGATTTACAGGCAATTTCAGGTGACTTCTTCAGATGGAAAAATGAGTTTTCAGTGATGATGAATATAATGCTGTGAAATTGATTTTATGTGCTTTATTGATAAGACCAAGTGCTGTTTGACAGTAATTGTATATTCTTGGTGCTATATGTTAACATTTTACATTTAAGCAAAAATTACACGATCATGTGACTCTCTGCTGTTTCCATTCTTGTATGTTACAAAACTATTAAGCTTTCATGGAGTCACTTGAACTAGTGAAGTGGAATCATGATGCATAACTGATAAAGGAAGAGATAACTTGAAGAATATAACTTTGCAATCTTAGCATATTAACATAGTATAAAATTTCACAATGACTGCTTTTAATTTCTCAGTTTCAAAAGGTACATCATTATTGGAAGTAATTGGCATTTCAAGAAAGAGATATATTCATTAATGAGTGTATGTATGTGTACAGTTAGTACTTGCCTGAGAGTTTCTAATTAGCTTTGTTCATAAAGACAGTCCATGCTTATACTCTAAGGTGAGACTTTCAACAATCAATAGGAAATTTATTATTTAAATTAATGGTATTTGTGTAACTGAATTTCTTACTAGGATTTGACTATCTAATTCTCAGTGAAAAAAAAGCCTTGATCATAGGAGCATAGAAACATAAAATGATTTCATTTGGGAGACCTTAAAGATCATCTACTTCCAACTCCCCTGCCACGGGCAGGGACACCTTCCACTAGACCATGTTGCTCAAAGCCCCGTCCAACCTGGACTTGAACCCTTCCAGGGAGAGGGCAGCCACAGCTTCTACGGGTAACCTGTGCCAGTGCCTCAACACCCTCACAGCAAATAATTTCTTCCTAATATCTAACCTAAATCTCCCCTCTTTCAGTTTAAAACCATTGCCACTTTTCCTATCATGACACTCCCTGATAAAGAGTCCCTCCCCATCTTTCCTGTAGACCCCCTTTAAGTACCGGAAGGCCACTATAAGGTCTCCCCAGAGCATTCTCTTCTCCAGGTTGAACAACCCCAGCTCTCTCGGCCTGTCCTCACAGGGGAGGTGCTCCATCCCCCTAGTCCTCTTTGTGGCCCTCCCCTGCACTTGCTCCAACAGGTCCATGTCCTCTTTATGTTGGGGTCCCCAGAACTGATCACAGTACTCCAGGTAGGGTCTCGTGAGAGCAGAGTAGAGGGGCACAGTCACCTCGCTCGACCTGCTGGCCACACTTCTCTTGCTGTAGCCTGGGACACGGTTGGCTTTCTGGGCTGTGAGTGCACATTGCTGGCTCATACCCAGTTTTCCATCCACTAATACCCCCAACTCCTTCTCTGCAAGGCTGCTCTCAATCCACCCATCACCCATCCTGGATTTGTGCTTGGGATTGCCCTGACCCATGTGCAGGACCTGGCAGTTAACATTGTTGAACTTCATGAGGTTTTCATGGGCCCATGTCTCATGACTGTCCAGGCCCCTGTGGATGGCATCCCTTCCCTCCGGCTTGTCAACTGCACCACACAGCTTGGTGTCATTGGCAGACTTGCTGAGAGTGCACCCGATCCCACTGCCCATGTCACCAACAAAGAAGGTAAACAGCACCAGTCCCAATACCATCCCCTGAGGAACACCGCTCATCACTGCTCTCCGCTCGGATATCAAGCTGCTGACCACAACTCTCTGAGTGCAACCATCCAGCCAAGTCCTTATCCACTGATTGATCCATCCATCAATGCCATGTTTCTCCTCCAATTTAGAGACAAGGATGTCGTGGGGGACAGTGTCCAATGCTTTGCACAAATCCAGATAGATGACGTCAATTGCTCTTCCCTTATCCACCAATGCTATAACCCTGTTTCACAGGGCCACCAGATCCATCAGGCACAATTAGCCCATACTGAAACCATGTTCGCTGTCACCAATGACCTCTGTTTTTTCCATGTGCCCTAGCATAGTTTCCAGGAGGAACAGTTCCATTATCTTGATACGTACAGAAGAGAGACTGACTGGCCTTTAGCTCCCTGGGTCTTCTTTCTTTCCCTTTCTAAAAATGAGGATTATGTTCCTCATTTTCCAGTCAGCAATCCTGCAAACAATGAAGTATACAAGCAGTTTGCGTGAGCACAGCCTCTATAAATTTATATTTACCTATTTTTTTTTCTTTCTAGGCATAAATTATAACATATGGACATTTTATTGGCTGTCATTCTAAAATGCAAGTAGTACTTCTGGCTTCGTTTGGTGATTTATATTAAAAATTCTTCCTGTGTTTTACAGCTGGAATAGATGTTGCCTGATACATATTTTTCACATAAGCAATTATTTTTCATTATCTTATTTCCAGGTTCCCCTGGACCATCCAGTGATCACAGCAGTGGAGCTTCATCACCTCTCTTTGACAGTGGCTTACATTTAAATGGAAACTCAACTAACACTGTAAGCAAATGAATAATAAAAACATGGTGTAAGCTATATAAGTTCTCTTGCCATTCTGAGCTTCAAAATGCTAGTGTAGGACTGGAAGACTATCCTACTTTTGTTGTTGTTTTCTTGTTTGTTTGTTTGATTGATTTTTAAGTGCATATACGGTAAAATTTTCTACTTACAAAGTAGCCAACATGGCATCCTGGGCTGCTAGGTTCTTACTCTGAGGCAACTGAGAAGCTTGTAGGAGTGAGCACATGAAGATTTAATCATTATTTAGGCATGAATTCATGTGAACTTTTGTCATACTTTGTTGAATTTTAGTATTGTACTATTGAATTTAGTCCAGCTAGAGATGCTGAAATGTACATGGAATTAAGGAAATAATCTGAAGTTGAAGTATTGAAGCAAACTTTCATGATAGGAAAGTAGGGGAGAAAAAGAGAAAGAAATAAAAGTGGAAAGCATACTTGAGAGGGGAAAAAAAAGGGTCTGTTTTTTTAATCCAAAGGATATTCTGTTCTTTTTTCTGTGATGAACAGCTATGATTAAATTAATTGCAGCACTGTGGAAAAAAAAAAAAAAAATCCTTTCTCCAGGAAAAATACTAGTTACCAAAGCCAAAGAAAATAAGATGTCTTAGTAGGTGACAGTGTTGCTCTTTTAAAAATGTAGATTGAAGATGTAACTACTGGCCGTACAAGGACATGGACTTCCATGCTCAAAACTTGTTTAGCCCCCAACAAATTTCAGCTTTGGTTTTTCAGTTGGATATTAAATTTTACAGAAGGAATGCCCAGTGAATGGAGTGGAGGCTTCTCCTCTCCTCTGTTTTTCCTTTTCTTTCCTACTTGGTCAAAGTTGTCAGTATTTGCTTCTTACTGTACTTCTCTGAACCTTTGCACTTTTTTGAGTACTGTCTCTCTAAACTAATCCTTAAGGCATTTATACATCTGATTTTATATATATATATATATTTATGATATTATAAATATCTTATATACATATGAGAAATAAATAAATAGAAATATGATTTTATGCACTGATACCTGTACCTTAGTGCTTGAGGACCAAACTGAGCATAGATAAAGAAGGTTTCAGGTTTACTTGTTTTTAATGATCCAGATAATTATTACTTTTAATTACACTGTATTGTTGTCTTACTAAAGAATCCCTGTGTGTCCTCATGGTCCATCATTCTGCAATGCCTGTCTACCAGGTGCTCTGCAGACAAAGTCCTTTCTGCAAAGAACTTACTTTTTAAGAAGAGGTCTATGGTCAGATGATTGCCTATGATTGCATTAGCATGTTTTAAGAAATTAATGCCTATTAAATGCTAGAATGCGTATGCCATAATAAATTTCAATAATCATGACTGTACTGTGAGAATTGAACACTTAGAATTCTAAGCATTATGAAAACATAAATACGTGTCTGGAGTTTTGTAGACTGCAACAGAGTAATTTAGAGTTAGTTTCCAAGGTAGCACACAAAAGACTGCATAAGCTTGAAATATAAGTGGAAACACAGAAAGTAAAAAAAGGGGAATACTAAGGTGCTAGCTTGCTTTTATACAACACTTAATTTTCCTGAGGCTTGACATAAAGTCACATGAGAGGGTATGTATGCACCAGAGACTATGACCTAGGACAGAAATAAAGCAAAACAATCTACCTTATATCTAGCTGAGTAAAAAAGTCATGATGTCCCTTCATCCCTTCATAGGAAATAAAATGAAAAATTGCCAGATTCTTATTCTGAAATGCAAAAGGAAGATCCTAAGTATTCTGAGCAGGAATGAGTGGCTTTTGAGATGGTCCACTGGAGGTATACGGTCAAAATTTAATCAAACTAAGCTGTGAATGTAATTGATCTGTGATCAGCTCTTCAGAAGTAGTTATAAATGTGTTTCAACTACCAGCTAATGAGTGCTTCTACTATTTTTCATTGGATATCTGCATTTTTATCAGAGAATCATAGAGTGGTTTGGATTGGAATAGACCTTAAAGATCATCTACTTCCAACCCCCCTGCCACGGGCAGGGACACCTTCCACCAGACCAGGTTGCTCAAAGCCCCGTCCAACCTGGACTTGAACCCTTCCAGGGAGGGGGCAGCCACAGCTTCTACGGGTAACCTGTGCCAGTGCCTCAACACCCTCACAGCAAATAATTTCTTCCTGATATCTAACCTAAATCTCCCCTCTTTCAGTTTAAAACCATTGCCACTTTTCCTATCATGACACTCCCTGATAAAGAGTCCCTCCCCATCTTTCCTGTAGCCCCCTTTAAGTACCGGAAGGCCACTATAAGGTCTCCCCAGAGCCTTCTCTTCTCCAGGTTGAACAACCCCAGCTCTCTCGGCCTGTCCTCACAGGGGAGGTGCTCCATCCCCCTAGTCCTCTTTGTGGCCCTCCCCTGCACTTGCTCCAACAGGTCCATGTCCTCTTTATGTTGGGGTCCCCAGAACTGATCACAGTACTCCAGGTAGGGTCTCGTGAGAGCAGAGTAGAGGGGCACAGTCACCTCGCTCGACCTGCTGGCCACACTTCTCTTGCTGTAGCCTGGGACACGGTTGGCTTTCTGGGCTGTGAGTGCACATTGCTGGCTCATACCCAGTTTTCCATCCACTAATACCCCCAACTCCTTCTCTGCAAGGCTGCTCTCAATCCACCCATCACCCATCCTGGATTTGTGCTTGGGATTGCCCTGACCCATGTGCAGGACCTGGCAGTTAACATTGTTGAACTTCATGAGGTTTTCATGGGTCCATCTCAAGCCTCTCAAGGTCCCTCTAAATGGCATTCCTTCTCTTCTTCAGTAAAAGAAGAGCAGAACTGACTTTTTCTATAGTGATATTGCCCAGTAAGGATAAGGATGTTTAAATCCTTTTTTAATGTCACCTTGCTAAGGAAGATCTCACTCACTTGAAATACTGCATCTTGTAAGTTTGTGTTGCAGCTGTATGTACCTTCCTAACCCCAGCCAGATCCATGCCGTATTAGACAATGCATGCATATCTATTAATGGAAATGCTGCTCCAAAAAGCACACATTGGAAAGGAGAGGACAGGAATGAGAGGTAAGGAATTACTGTTAGGCCAGTTTTACCAAGCTGTCATTCAGCATGTCTGCTCTGAAAATCAAATAATACAGAGACACTTGAGCTAGCATGTGTCCTGTAGACAGTAGTTTAGCCATGGTAACAACAAGGTGCTTCTGCCTAATATGATTATACCATTTTCAATTCTGGTGCTAGCTTGCCTCTCTTAGACATATCTTTATCACCCCTGCTGTGAAGCATCTGTTACATGTAATGTGATATCATCTTCAGGATTTATATATACCTTACCTATAATATCGGAGTAATTTGTTTTATATCACTTTAACAGGGTTCTCTCGAACACAGAGAAATGAGCTGAAGTGCTCTCTTCATGCCTAATTATTTTGTGCTTGGGCACTGTGACAAATGCTATAGAGATTAGTAGTGAGTTTATAAGGTACATTCATCTGTTTCTTATAAGCAGTTTATTAAACACAATGTGAAATTTCAGAGGGGAACATAAAACATTTTGAGGAGGTGGTCTCTAGGCTAGTGATTACAGTTTGTTTACGTGAAGGATTCTAATTATAAAGCAGTGAAAAAAATACTGTAGAGATATTCTCCTAGATGTCCAAATATCCTAGATGTCCAGGCCAGCTCTCTGGAGAAATTGGGGGTGAAAGTAAAAGAGACTGGAAATTAAAAAAATTCCTGTTTAAGACACCATTTAATAATACAGTAGTTACAATACAAAGGGAGAATGTAGTGGGTTCTCTTCTTAAAAAAAATCCAGCTACCCTGAGTTGTCTCAAAGTAATGTTCTAGTAAGTGAAGTGAGACCAGAGTAAATCATGATTTTCTGTGTGTTCATGTAATTTAAGAACTCTAATTTAATTTTGATAGTGTATGTTTAGTTTAGTTGGTTAAATGAAACTAAACAAGCACTTAAAATTTCTGAACTGCTTTAAAGTATTTTTACTTGGTAGCTTTGTTTTATCTGTTAAATTAAAAAGGTTTTCTTTAAAAAAGATATTGCCTACTTCATCACTAAGTGCAGTTTTTAAAAAAGAAAAAATACAGATGCTCGACTATTGGTGGGACCAATGGATGCTAAATCTTTAATGTGTATGGTAGTCCTGGTTCCAGAGTGAGAAAATTATATGACTCAATCCCAAACATGTTAAGGCTAAAAGGGAAGAGGATCCTAGAAAGTGGGGGTGGACACCCTCTTAATGAGAATAAAAGCTATTCTGATGGATACTTTAGTGGAGTGTGTGACCAGACCATTGAAATGAGATTGAATTGATGCCATACATCTGAAAGCTTCGATAGTTTTATTTTCTGAATGTTCCTGTAGTATCATCCAATGCAGTATAAGCACACTATTGATCATTCTGAAGTTTTATTTTATTCTTCATTTTTATCATCCTGTAGCTCACTTTAAAGATGAAAAGTTTCAGGATTTCAGATCAATACTTTTCTGTTAGAATGGTTTAGCATATGATACCAATAGACCATGCCAACTCTTCATCTGAAAATCCATGATTTGTTCACTGGATATGAAAACAATGTAACTTTAAATTGACTTCAAATTCATAGTGTTGTATGTACATAAAATGTAATTAATGTAATAAATACCAAAAATAGCTCACTTAGATGTACAACACTGATTGCTCTCATGAACGTAAGCATCACCATGTCTTCCATTTATTTGCTAAAGAGAAACTTAAAATAGATGAACACATCTAGCTACACAAATATTTTGGGATGCTGCTGTGCTGAGGACCTTTATGAAATGAGATAAACACACTGTAAAAAAGTGTGCTGCTTTTTCTCAATAAAATTAGAAGTGACTGTCCCCTTTCCACATACAGGGAAAAATAATCCAAATTTTCTGTTTCTGAATACACCTATTAGAAATCATAACAGTAGAAGCTGGTAAAAGACTATTAAATAACACTTTCCTGCTCCA